GGGGATTGGCAGAGATTTGCATAATTATCAGAATTCACACAACTCTGCCGCTGCAGATAACGGTAACGAACGACCAGAGTCCCGTCTCCCAACTGGGCAGATTTACAGTATAAACGCACCATGGGACACTTTATGAAGAACCGACTCTAATGAAGCAGCACAACAAAACTTGGCTCTCAAACCAGCACATATACTTGAAATGCAAGCTCATGCATGTTTGTGTTTTAATGCGAGAGAGAGCCAGGATTCCAGCTGTGCTATTGTCCTCCTGTAATTGGGCGACTTATCTTAGTTCCCTCTGGTTGTCTTCTCCAGCACATCAGGCATATGCTAAATCCAATAGTCATTTAACTTCCACCGGTGAGACGAATCCTCTGTGTGTGTCTGTTTTAATGTGAAATCAAACCACAAAGTAATGAAGACATGTATGTTGTATTGTCTTTCTTTAGAGGCTTAATTCCTTTACGATCAAAAGGTCAGGTGCTTTTTTGACATATGCTGTTCTTTTATTTCTATTGCTCATACTGAGGGTTATAGGGATTTAAATATTAGATTATTAAAATCTACGCACAAATATTTCTACCTATTGGTAATCGGTCGATATCCTAGATTTTTATTTTATTTTATTTATCAGTAGCCTATCAGTTGATTTGATTATTTAATTGTACATATATTTTTTCCAAATATTTTACATTAAGATTACATGTTTTTATCTAATCTTTAAAAACACTAAGACATTAATTCCACTGTTAAATGTAATCTTTAGCAAATTTGAATGAATGAATGAATGAATGAATGAGGCAAATTTCAAAATGAATATCCATTTTTCATATTGTAAATTATGTTTTGATCTTATGCAATTTGAATATCAGCGTTTATCGATGATAATAACTATTGGCTTATCATATCAGCCAGAATTTCTATATTGTTGCGTCATGCACTAATTAAATTATAAATATGAAGTAAAATTTTCTTTATTATTCTACACATGCAAAAAATGTTCTGTTAGGGTGTGAATTGGTATGGAAGCCTTTTTCCGCCATATGAGAAAAAAAGTAAATCATAACAATGATAAAACATCGAAATGATTAGATACTAAATAAGAATTAGGAGATAAAGTCAAATTTTGATTTAAATTTTTAATTATCACAAAAAAAATCTAAATGTTGAGATAAAAAAATCTTAAAAAGTCAAATTTATAAGGTATTAGTCATAGTTACCACTTTTCATGTCGTAATTTCGACTTGTCATAGGTTGTACTTTTTATCTCATTATGATGACTTAATGCCACAATTATGATTTACCAAAGTATTTTTTTTTCTTATGTGAAATAAATTGAATTGTTTTGGTTCCCATTGGGAAAACAGCTTATAAATCATTCAACCAAGTGATGTTTTTATTTTATTTTTATAAAAATGCAGAAAGTTTTTTGTGATGGGTTTAGGGTTAAGTTATAGAATATACAGTTTGTAAAGTAAAAAAATCCTTTTGTCTATGGAATTTATGGTGTGTGTGTGTGTGACATGGAGGTCCCATAATTTCCAGGTGTGATTGAGTCTACTCTTGAGTGATGGGCTGGTGGGTGAACAGAGGCATACTGTGAAAGTTAGAAGTTAGAAACATTTCACACGTCTTTCCAACAGCCCTCCATTTTGAGCCGTTATTGAATGTAGCTACTAGCTTAGAACGAATGCCAGCAGGGTTCAGCCACAAAAACATGTATACGCACATACTCTCTCATAAAGAAACAATTTGCAAACTGACAGGACCCCTTTGTGCGCACAATGCAGCCGGATCAGGATCTGCAGCAGGAAGTGAGTGTGTTCGACAGATACGAAGGGGCCCAGAACAGAAGGAACAAAGGAGGGCTGGATTTTGTGAGAGGAACACCAATTTGAATTCATTAGCTGTCACTCGCTCTGACAGCAAGTTAGAGCCATGATTCTGAGTGCGTGCGAATCACAACCGCTAAAGGCGGAGCTCAGGAGAGGCCTGGACTCTCGCCAGTGTTTAGTAATTAGTGAGAAGAGGCCATCACTCACATTGTCATTCTATTGAACCAGCTCTCACTAACACTCATTAGGGTACACGCGCCTATGTGTCTTGAAAAGCAACAATTTGGGTCAAGCCACACTTGAGCATGACACTTTTTTTTCTCTCTCACTCACAATTTTTCTCCGTATAATCATCTGGATTCCAGCTGAGCTTTCCATCAATGCTGCTTGAAATTGAAAGTGTCTTTTTTTCCTTGTCTGTTCAAAGCTTTGTCATTCAAGCTCTCACCCAATCAAATTGCTTGTTTTAATTCACTTGCACCTATTTACTCACTCATTTCCTTCAAATCAACAAACTGACTTATCTGCTTTCACACACACTCAGCTCCTTGGGTTATGTTCTTCGTATTTATCCTTCAACCTCCTCTACTCTTTTGTCTTTCCAATCCAGTACACATAAAGGTGCCATGCATCTGTTTTTTTTCCTGTGAGGGGCATCAATTGTAGTCCTGACACATTTCTTTAATTAGGCATGAATAAAAATCACTTTTAAATTACTTCAAAACTATGTATGTAAGATATAGTGCAAGATGTTTTTTCTAGTGCAGGTTTTGTTGAACATTTGAGGGGACACTGGGTTCACATTATGATCTAAAAATCAAAACAAAACTGTTAAATTTGTTGTATGGTAAAGACTTATGAGATTTGAATAACTGCATATACAAATACACAGTTATCCATATTACCACTATATTCAACAAGGATGCATTAAATTAATCAAAAGTGACAGTAAAGACATTAATTGTTACAACAACAAAAAAAATTAAATAAATGCTGATCTTTTGAGCTTTCTATTTATCAAAGAATCATAAAAAATGCATCACGTCAATTCAGAAAGCATTTTGGCCTGAAGCATCCCTCCATCCATGCCCCAGTATCCCACAATCGTAGTTTCAAACCATCTATTATGGATTCTGCCTTCCAACTCTGGAGTGACAGAGGTATCACGGCTATTAAAGACCTTTATAACAATGGTACTTTCATGTCTTTCACCGACCTGTCAGTCAAATTTCAACTCCCATCTGCTCACCTCTTTCGTTTCTTTCAAATTAGGCATTTTGTACAAAGAACCTACCCTGATTTTCCAAATCTACCCCCAGAGACTTTGGTAGACTCGCTTCTCAAAGTAAACCCCAATCAGAGAGGGGCTATTTCTTATATCTTTAAAGCCCTTGATTCCGCTTTCTCTAATTTTCCCCAAAAAACCAGAGACTTATGGGAGCAGGACTTGGGGCATATTGAGGAAGACCAATGGGACCAGATTCTGGAGTTAGTCCATAACTCTTCCATCTGTGCGCGGCACGGTCTGATTCAATGTAAACTAATAAATAGGACCTACTACACTAACCACAGATTGTCCAAGTTCTACCCCAATGTTGCAGATGCATGTAATAGGTGCAACCAATCTCCTGCAGACCTCATCCATATGTTTTGGTCATGTCCAAAGCTAGCAGACTTTTGGTCTAAAATATTTGACACTCTTCACACGGCCTACCATTGTGTAACAAACCCGAATCCTCTGTCTGCCCTTTTTGGTATATCACATGGCAGCACTCTAACAACTGAAGCACAACACTCTTTGGCCTTCTGTACCCTGCTTGCTAGACGCCTGATCTTGCTTAACTGGAAGCAGGCCCTGCCTCCATCATATGACAGATGGATTAAGGAAGTCCTACATAATCTAAAACTTGAGAGGCTAAGGTTTTCTCTTAGAGGCTCTTTGAGGAGATTTGATAAAACTTGGAACCCCTTGCTTTCCATTATAGACTCCCTAGACATCATACCTGAGGAGTGAAATGTTTACGCCCTTTGGATCTACAGTGTAACTAACCACCTATTCATGAGTTTTATTTATTTTATTTATTTAATTTTTTTTTTTTTTTTTTTTTTTTTTTTTTTTTTTTTTTTTTTTTTATTTATCCATGTTTTTATTTATACATATTGTATTGTGTTGTGTTTTGTTTTCCAGGAACGGGGCACTTCAGGGGATGGGATCCAATAAAGGGGATTGGGGTCCCATATAGGGGTTTGGGATGGTGGGGAGGGGGACGGGTGCGGGGGGAAAAAATGAAAAAATGGGAGCACTGCTTCATATTTATCAGTACTGTTTAACATTGTGTACGCTTTGTATGATTGGTGCTCAATAAAACATATTGAAAAAAAAAAAAAAAAAAATGCATCACGATTTCCACATATAATACTAAGCAGTGCAACAAAATTAATAATAAAAAATGTTTCTTGAGCAGCAAATCATCATATTAGAATAATTTCTGAAGGATCGTGTGACACTGAAGACTGGAGTAATGATGCTGAAAATTCCGTACATTTTAAAATATATTAAAATACAATAAATAAATATTTTTGATCCAATAAATGCAGCCTTGGTGAGCATAAGAGACTTTATAAAACATAAAAATCTTACCGACCCCAAACATATGAAACATTATGTGTATTTGTATCTAGTTATATTATTTTTCATGACAAATCAAATGCAAAATGGGCATAATGCTTCTGTGTATATATTTCAGATGACACCAGGGCTTATGGAGATTCAATGTAGCTTTAATTCACAGCACAAAACCATATTTCATCCATAACAATCATGACCATCTCTTTTTTTTCTCTCTCCTGATATGCAGTTGGATCACGACGCCGGCCTGCCTTAGAGGGGAGAAACCATTAAAGGCACAACACAGTCTTCGATTTTTTACCTACTTCACACTCCTAAGTTTGGTCCACCTGCTTTATGTTCCCTTCCCTTTGACAAATCACTAGCCTTTGTTGCCACATAAATTGTTTTCTTAGCTGATTTACAACTGAAGAGTTTCAGGCAAAACTCAACTCAGCTTAATTCAATCATGCAATCGCACGATGACCTCAGAATTCGCCTGCATGCGAAGGTGTTGAGATGGAGATTAAGGTCTAGAATATATTCTAGGCTTTTTTGTTTGATGTGAAACCGCAGTTGGAACTCCAGATTGGTCCATCCTCTAAAAGTGAACTATAGAATTTGGATGAATGCTAATCCACCAATTGCAATCGTAATGTACGTTGTAGTGAAAGTAAAATAACCTTGAACACGTTCAGATTATTCAAGGCCTTTATTCATATCCTCTGCATATGGTACTTTGCATCCAAAACTGGCATCCATAATGTCTGGAAGCTGCATTGAGCATTATAATGGGAGTAGAGCCAATGGTTTTAGCAGCTCAGGATTTTAATAAAGGCTCTGCGGAACTCAGTGTTGAACGTGGTGTAGATGACGGGATTGAGAGCGCTGTTGACGTAGCCGAGCCAAGTGAAGGCGCTGTAGACCTCAGGAGGAACATGGCAAGCTCTGCAGTGAGTGTTTAGGATGTGGGTCACAAAGAAGGGAAGCCAGCAAATAAGAAAAACCCCTGCGAGACAAAAAAGAAAAGAAAAACATGAACTTTTGCACAGTAATCGTATGACATTCTTCAGTGGAATACAAAAGGAGAAATTGAGGAGGGTCCTGGTCGATCTTTTCCATGCACCAGAAGTATCATAAATGTGTCTATCACTTTATTCTTAAGTCTTTTGAAACCTTTCTGTGAAAAACATACAGAGCCCCTAAAGGGACACGGTGAAGGGAAAAAATATTGTCAATGCTTTTGAGAGCTTTTCAATGCTCTCCCAAATGTTTTGCGTTCCCCAGAGAAATTTTGCATTCGCTGGTAAACCTTATGAGCTCTTTTTGAGAGTGAACGCAAAGTTTCTCGGGGAACGCAAAACATTTGCGAGAGAAAGCAAAAGCATTGACTTAGTTATTATTTTTCCTCCCATCTCATATTTTTCTTCCTCCCACATGTCCCTTTAGGGGCTCGGTAAAAACAGACCACGTTTAGGTATATATAGTTCATGAAATAGGTAGCGATTCACTTTTGTTATCGTTAACTAAAACTATTAAAAATCCTTTCCTGTATTTAAAATAAATCTGAAATAGATTATAAATATTAGATGAAAAACTTAAAGGAAAATTAGAAATGTTGCTCTGACAATTGAAATAAATTAAACTAAAATAAAAATAAATAAATTGAAGCCAAATAGAAATTAAAAAATGAATACAAAACAAAATTACTAAAATTGAAACCTGAAAATATTAAAAAATAAACGCTAATTCATATATTTAATGATAATTACAACAGTGAATAATTCTAAAATATCACTGATTCATTTGTTAATGAATTTGTTCTTTTGAGTCAGATCTTTTCAATGAATCAGCTGATCCAGTTCACAAAAGTAGTTTGAATGGCTTCTTATGTAATCGCATATATATGCGAAAAAGAGTAGTTAAAAAGTAGTAGCAAAAAATACCCGGATGACCTACTACTTCTGCCGAGATTCTGAAGTGTGCAAACGATGGACACTTTACTATCCCATGAGGCCACAGTAGAGGATTTGTGAATGGCAGTGAAGCAACTGACTCTGGTAGTCATGAGAATGACAACATGGTGAATGTAGTACGTCCGAATTTCATTAATATTAAACACATTCATACTATAGAAAACATACTTTTTAGCGGTCGCGAAGTATGTCTACTTATTCAAATGAATTACCTAATCAGCGAGTATTTGATTTCGGACGCAGCCAATGATTCAGTTTTTGAGTTCTCACTGACTCAATGAACCGGTTGCAGTGTCAAACTGTATCAGTATATAATGACTTGTGAATTTCGGTCTGTTGTAAAACTATTCAATAACTTCAGCAGATTTTTGTGATGCTTTTTTGCCTGTTTTAAAAATAGCGAACAGTACAGTTCTTTAAAATTTCCCCTTTTGTGATGCACAGAAGAAATAAAGCCTTTTTGGGTGAACTACTCATCAAACCTCTAATTGTAAAGTCTTTTTACATGTCGGAATTTTTGCAAATGACAAATAGCTTTGTTGAATTGACCACAGGCAAAATGGTCATATGACAACCCTGACCGATTGAGGCAGCTGAGCCATTCACTCGAGCTGTCTCCAGTGTGATTTAATTTCCTCCTCAATTAAGCAGACATCTCAGATTACCATCACTGTCATTTATCACTTTACAGAACACTGACTCATGGGTCATCACTTGACACTAGGGTGACCAGATGAGATTAGCTAAAATTCGGGTAACTAGTACTATGGATACATGGCTACTTCCCCACCCACTCCTCCCGGTACCTGCAGAGGCGTTTTTGCTTTTTGCTTTTTTCGGGACGTCTGGTCACCCTACTTGACACTAATAGAGCCTAATTGGTTGGGGTTCCGGTACACCAGCCATGTCAGCGAAACGAATGAATGAAAATGAGCTTATCAATGCATATCTAAATTCGAAAAAAGCAACAAAAAAGATGCTGCAGCCGGCGAGGGCTGGCTTAAGGACGACTCAACCTCCACGGACAGTTTTTAATGTTTTATCAGACAATAACTACTCAAGATTTTAAAGTAGGATCATTTTCGGGACAATTAGGGCCGGATTCGGGATTCGGGACAACAACTTAGATTTCGGGACTGTCCCGAATTTTTCGGGACATCTGGTCACCCTACTTGACACTAATAGAGCCTAATTGGTTGTCTGGTACTTGATGTATTATAAAACTATATGTTGGAGACTGACTGTACTCTGTAGGTGTTGTATGGCATTCAGAGTCCTCACTATTCCCCAGGTGGCCCCTTGATGGCAATCTGACAAACTGTTGCACATGTCAGGCACAGACTGACTGAGCTCCATGGAGCGACTCTGCAACCCACTTTCAAAATGTCAAATGAAAAACTAAGTGAATCATTGATTGAAAAAAATAGTACTGTGGCATGTGCATGGGTTGAGGGGGAGGTTTGGAGGAGTTGTCATGAAAGGAAATAATTTTGAAATAGTGAAGATGAAAAATCACGAAATCAGTTTGCTGTAAGCAATCAGCAAGATGGTGAATTTCATAAATTGCGTGTCCATCCCCACCACTTCCTCTCACTTCTGCTGCTGTCTCAATGTCCATGAAAAAGTCTCCTCATCTGCTAGACGTGAGAGAGCGATTAGTATCAGTGTTGATAATGACGTACGACAGAGGTCGAGTTAATCAAGTCAATGAAATTACAAAATAAAATGCAACCAAATGTACCCCTGCTACCTTCACCTGGATTCAATCACTGGATAAAATGCTCTTTCTATTCATCAAAGAATCCTGATTTATATATTAAGCAGCACAACTGTTTTTAACATTGAAAAATAAGAGATGTTTCTTGAGCACCAAATCAACATATTAAACTGATATCTGAAGGATCACATGACACTGAAGACTGGAGTAATGATACTGAAAATTGTAATTTACCCAACATGGGAATTAATTACATTTTAAAATATATGAAACTTATTTTAAATTGTAGTAATATTTTACAATGTTACTGTTTTTACTGTATTTTTTATCAAATAAATGCAGCCTTGGTGACCATGAGACTTTTTAAAAAAACATTAAAAAACCTTACCAACCCCAACATTTTTAATGGTATTAAAGCGAGCTCTTCATGTGTATCTTTGACCTTTAATTTTAAGTGATAATTCATTGTAATGTATTATGTAATGCATATATGATCTTGCCAAAGCCACCAAGGGAAAACGGATGTGTTTAACCTTCCAAATGATGCACACAAATGGTTTTGGGCCCAACAAGATGAATGTAAAGTGAGACAGTTTTCTGCATAAATGAAATGTTGCATCACTGAGTCACTGTTGTTATGATGCTCGGGGCGACAAATGGAAGTAAAAAAACCAACAATGACATTTTGTTATGCAAATAACTCCAAAATGGAAAACCAAACACTGTGGAGAATCCAAATATTAAAGTGATGTCATCACTGTTGAATAGCAAACATTCTAACAATGTTAGCCAAAGGGATTTTCAAAAGTTAATTTTAAATTTCATCTAATAAAATCTTACAAAGAACCACAATATGCTAATTTGTTTTTTGAGAAAACAGTTTTAAAAAAAAGACTGTCAAACAGTTTGAGCTAAATTTATTGTGGAAAATTGTGACAAGGAAAAGAAGATGAATTTCGATGGATGCATGGATGAAAAAGGATAGTGATATTATGGATAGATGGATGGATGTATAAAAAGAGTAGTGATATAATGGATGGATGGATGAAAAGGATAGTGATATGATGGATAGATGGATGGATGTCTAAAAAGAGTAGAGATATAATGGATGGATGGATAAAAAGGATAGTGATATGATGGATAGATGGATGGATGTCTAAAAAGAGTAGAGATATACTGGATGGATGGATAAAAAGGATAGTGATATGATGGATAGATGGATGGATGTATAAAAAGAGTAGTGATATAATGGATGGATGGATGAAAAGGATAGTGATACGATGGATAGATGGATGGATGTATAAAAAGAGTAGAGATATAATGGATGGATGGATAAAAAGGATAGTGATATGATGGATAGATGGATGGATGTATAAAAAGAGTAGAGATATAATGGATGGATGGATAAAAAGAGTAGAGATATAATGGATAGATGGATGAAAAGGATAGTGATATGATGGATAGATGGATGGATGTATAAAAAGAGTAGAGATATAATGGATAGATGGATGAAAAGGATAGTGATATGATGGATAGATGGATGGATGTATAAAAAGAGTAGAGATATAATGGATGGATGGATGAAAAGGATAGTGATATGATGGATAGATGGATGGATGTATAAAAAGAGTAGAGATATAATGGATGGATGGATAAAAAGAGTAGAGATATAATGGATAGATGGATGAAAAGGATAGTGATATGATGGATAGATGGATGAATGTATAAAAAGAGTAGAGATATAATGGATGGATGGATGAAAAGGATAGTGATATGATGGATAGATGGATGGATGTATAAAAAGAGTAGAGATATAATGGATGGATGGATAAAAAGAGTAGAGATATAATGGATAGATGGATGAAAAGGATAGTGATATGATGGATAGATGGATGGATGTCTAAAAAGAGTAGAGATATAATGGATGGATGGATGAAAAGGATAGTGATATGATGGATAGATGGATGGATGTATAAAAAGAGTAGAGATATAATGGATGGATGGATGAAAAGGATAGTGATATGATGGATAGATGGATGGATGTATAAAAAGAGTAGAGATATAATGGATGGATGGATAAAAAGAGTAGAGATATAATGGATAGATGGATGAAAAGGATAGTGATATGATGGATAGATGGATGGATGTCTAAAAAGAGTAGAGATATAATGGATGGATGGATAAAAAGGATAGTGATATGATGGATAGATGGATGGATGTCTAAAAAGAGTAGAGATATACTGGATGGATGGATAAAAAGGATAGTGATATGATGGATAGATGGATGGATGTATAAAAAGAGTAGTGATATAATGGATGGATGGATGAAAAGGATAGTGATACGATGGATAGATGGATGGATGTATAAAAAGAGTAGAGATATAATGGATGGATGGATAAAAAGGATAGTGATATGATGGATAGATGGATGGATGTATAAAAAGAGTAGAGATATAATGGATGGATGGATAAAAAGAGTAGAGATATAATGGATAGATGGATGAAAAGGATAGTGATATGATGGATAGATGGATGGATGTATAAAAAGAGTAGAGATATAATGGATAGATGGATGAAAAGGATAGTGATATGATGGATAGATGGATGGATGTATAAAAAGAGTAGAGATATAATGGATGGATGGATGAAAAGGATAGTGATATGATGGATAGATGGATGGATGTATAAAAAGAGTAGAGATATAATGGATGGATGGATAAAAAGAGTAGAGATATAATGGATAGATGGATGAAAAGGATAGTGATATGATGGATAGATGGATGAATGTATAAAAAGAGTAGAGATATAATGGATGGATGGATGAAAAGGATAGTGATATGATGGATAGATGGATGGATGTATAAAAAGAGTAGAGATATAATGGATGGATGGATAAAAAGAGTAGAGATATAATGGATAGATGGATGAAAAGGATAGTGATATGATGGATAGATGGATGGATGTATAAAAAGAGTAGAGATATAATGGATGGATGTATAAAAAGAGTAGAGATATAATGGATGGATGGATGAAAAGGATAGTGATATGATGGATAGATGGATGGATGTATAAAAAGAGTAGTGATATAATGGATGGATGGATGAAAAAAGATAGTGATGTGATGGATGGAAGAAAAATTATAGTGATATTAATGGTTGGATGGATGAATCGCTCCACTTTAAAGAAGTACGTATTTTCTGTGCCACCCTCCACAAGAGAATTGCTAAAAAAAACGTTTTCACAATTTTTTTCCCCAAACCTAGGAATCTAATAATGGAGTCTGGATTTGTACATGAATCACATCTCACCCAGAACGATGGCCAGCATCTGTGTGGCTTTCTTTTCCTTGGAGTGCATACTTCTACACCGGACCTGACTGGGACACACCATGACACTGCCGGGCGGACGCAGTGTGGTGTGTGTTCGTCCGTTTGACAACTTCTTCACCTCACAACTCCTAACTGTCACCTGCTCCTCGTCCCCACCTTCCTCTTCCGCTTGGTTTACATCTTGCTCAGTGCGAGCAAAGGACGCCTGGCTAATACTGCAGTAGTTGAGAGTGATCACAGGGGGCAGCAGTGAGTTTTCGGCAGGGGCGGTTTGAGGCCTCTTACGCCGCAGGCAGCTGGAGAGGAGCCGCGGACGCATCACCTGCTCCGTGCTTTCCTGAACACATAGGGAGATGAAATGTAAGCAAACTTCAAGGTGTGCAGAACATCTTTATTCCTGCTAGCATGTCTGTTCTATAATTAATTATTAGCACAAGGAGGTATGCTGTCCTCATTTCCTCGAATAGAATGATATCGTCTCAAGGACTACTGAGTATTTTTGTTGCAATGCAAAGCTGATTTCACACCGTTTTACACACAGTTTTGGATTACTTTTATTTTTGACTTTGCAATTCCTTAAGAAAGGGCAATGACCTTCAGGCTATTGTTGTTTTTACAGCCATATCTTATTAAATTCTCTCATGTACTTTCCTATAACACAGCATTGGAATTAAATATAAAACAGTATTGAGTAATACACTACTTTTTTTATTAGACTTTTTAAATGTTTAAAAGGCTTTTTGAGTTTCAATCCCAGTGGATAGAAAGTCTTTTAGCTGATTTGTGTTATGGACAATTATATCAACTGGACTAGTTGAAAAACATAAAACATAAAAAACTGGTTGAATAACTTGTTGAACAAATCTTTATCCTTAAATATCTTTGTGGTCATTTGTCTTTCTCAAATCAACAAAACACACAGCAAGATATGCTTCTTAATCAGTATTTTGTACAATTTTTCCTAATAAATTAGGTTAGTTGAATTTTTCTCGCCCTAATGGTAAATAGTTTTTGTTTTAAGCATACATGTAACAAATGTAGTCACTTTTAGGCATTTTTTTCTGAATATCTTATTAAACTTTTTCTAAAGTAAATTTATATTATTCTATTATATATTTTTATAGGGCTGTCATGCAATTATTTTTAAAAAAAAATCTAATTAATTACATGATGTGCCAATTCATTAATCTAATTAATCATAAATTATTCACACATCAAATTTGGCTGAGAAATTATCCCCAAAAGATAATTTAAAGTCATTGTTGTGTTAAATGAGAAAAGCATCAAAAAGACATTACAAAAAGAAATTATTTATTCGCGAATTTATACGTGCGTCACGTTTAGTCGATAAAACTCTTCCGCAAAGGATACACCCGTGTATCCTCGCTCATTACTCCTCAGGAAGCCTCCTCGATCCTTTCCTCCTCGCGGTGCAATTAGAGAATTGAGATGTCCTTCAAGATGGCTGAGCTCGATCGGTTTCCGGGTCATAGGATGGAGGACGGAGGGGCGAGGAGACGAGGAGGGATATTGAGAAGCACCCTTTATGAATGGGCCATTGAACCGTTGGTTCACCCGATTGATTCGATCAAAAAGCAAATACATTCAGAAACAAAACACTGCTGTGTTGCTTGGAGACAACAGTTCTGCTTTGGCTTTAGCAGGTTTTGTTGGCAAAATTGAGCAAAAACAGACAATATTGTGTCTAAAACATAACACATTATTTACTCCTTATTTATTGAACTATTAAAATCACATTTGCACTTGTGCTATTCGGAACAAAAGCACCCGAACTGACAGCTGCATTGACAGCATTTCCTATGGCTCTCTACTAAAGCTTGTTACTCCCTAACTCTGAGGTGACTCTTGTGGATACAGTTTCAACAAACAGAAGTGTACCAGTGAAGGGAGTAAAGCACCAGCCAGAACGACTTGAGGGCCATACGTCAGAGCCACATATTTCCAGTTCATAGCTTATAGCCAGCAGGGATAAGTCTGTGGAGGCACGTCGACAGAAACGCACCCGCTATGCTAAAACAGGAAGGAGAATGCTGCCAGCAATCTCAAAATACCTTGTAGGATTTCTTCAGAGTCTGTTGCTCTAAGAAGGCTCATTTCATGCAAGATTAGAGTAGACACACACATTTCTATACACACATGCAGGCACACAATGGTATACGCACATTTATCACATTGATCCTGATGGGGGAAAGGTCTCTTTTCTCTTTGTGAGTGCCATCTTGTAAACACGTCTCCTGTGGAGAGATGTTAAAGAGTCAGCGGGTGGAAAACAAAGGCAATGCAAAAGCATGCAAAACAAATTTGGGAAGCAGCTTTATAAATGTAAAAAGACAGGAAAAGATGCCTGAAGCAAGGCAGGGAAAATGAAGTAGGGCGCTATGGAAAAAGAATCAGAAAAATCTGTTTTTCCCTGGATTCTAATAGTAGGCTGTGACGCTTCACTGAAGCTCATTATATGACTGGAATGGATCATCTATTTTATATTTCATCCATATTTCAGTTACTGACAACAATTTTAATTAGTAGTTAACAATAACAACCGCGACCTTGAAACTATTTGAACATTGGTACTGTCCGTCTGTAAAGTAATGCCTAATAAAGTCCAAGAACATTTTGTATTTAAATTTTTTTACATATTGGACTCCATTAACATTTTTCATGTGAAAAAAGAGAGACATTTTTCAAGTTTGTCCAGTGTTTGTCTTCCAAACAATATATTCTTTTGTGTCCCACGGATAAAAGGAAGTCATACAAGTTTGGAACTGCTGTACTTCAGGGTGAGTAAATTACAGAATTTTCATTTTTGAGAGAACTATTTCTTTAATAAAAAAAACTGAAAGCTGATTGCTTAATTTAAAATCCGAAAATCTGATACAAAATCAATTCAGTTTTATTTATAGCTCAAATACTTTGTAAGTCTATATGCTCGGACGTAATTTTCTTTATTAAAATTAGATAGGACGGGGGGAAAAAAGATTATCACAGTCTTTTTAACAGGAAGTAAAATATTCAGGGCAGTCTACAAAGCCTTTTCTCCATATCAAATTTTGCTCCAGTTAGCTGGAACTAAATCTTGCAATAAAATTCCTAGGGCGTGTAGCAGAATGGCTTTGCTGGAACTTTTCCAAAGACCTGATGTGCATCTCACTTTCACATGAAGCCAATGATGCAAAGGTCCTATCCGTTGATCTGGAATGTTGTTTCACTGAATAAAACAACCCACTAATGTTTCCTAACAAAGACAGACTGGATTCCAAGCTTCTTTGAATTTAAGTGAAATGTAATGCAGTGTTTCGATCCAAGATAGCCTGAGTTGGAGCTTAAATGCATTTCCAATCTATACTTACCACCGGTAACAGATACTTCTAGTCATTATGCACTGTTATTGGTGGATTATGTGTGTTTTAAGTAGAGTAGAGAATCCAAAACACCTTGAGGAGAATTTGTGTAGATGTGAAATGCAATCTACTCTTACCACTGATGGTGGCGCGGATGCTGGCTGAACTTTGCCACCTTGACGGAAGGTGATTCTCTTCCGTCTTCGTCTGAGAAAGATGTAGATGCGGACGTAGACCAGAAGGGTCACCACGAACGGCAAGTAAAACGACACCACGGAGGAGTAGATCACAAAATCGGGATTTGAAATCGAGCACACTGCAGGGTCATCTGCAAGAAACACACATGCAACACATCATTTCTTACAAAGTGCGACTGTCACGATTATATTCTGTTTAGTTGTTCCTGTCGTGTCTGTATGAGTTTTCGTTAGTTTCTATGGTTACTGATTAGTTAATATTTGACCGGCTGTTCCTGTTTAGTTCCTTCATTTTACTACGTGTATATATTCTCCCTGTTCTGGTCAGCCCTTGGTCGGTTATTGTTTGTGTGAATGTGAATGTTACTCCTGAGTTTGCTATTAAAGACTCTGTATTTCATCATATCCTTCGTTGTGCGCTTTTAACAGCCACCATTCCGTGACAGAATAACCGGCCACTTAAACCTTACAGATCTGTTGTCCTCGGATCAAGTCCCCACCCTCGAATCCTCGTCTTCTCCGCCGTTCCCGTCCGGAGATAATCTTCTTCCGCCGATGTTCGCACCTGATTTCCTGGTCCCATCTCCTCCTCTGTTTACGGCCAGTCCCCTGGATCCGTCGGCACCACTGGTGTCATCTAGCTCCTCGGCTCTGCCCCTGCCGCTAGCTCCTTGCGGTTCGTCAGCTTCGCCTCTGGCTTCTCCTCCACCAGCTCGGCATGAGGCCGAGTCCCTGTCTCCACCTTGGCCTGTCAGTCCGTCGGCTGCGTACCGGCTCTGCGCTCCTCATCTCCACCATGGCCCGTCTGCCCTAGGACTCTTCTGGGCTCCCTCGTCCATCTGGATCAGCCTCGGTCGGTTGGCGCTCAGCTTCCGGGTCTCTGGCAGTTCCTCGACCCTCCATCCCTTCGGCTCCACCAGGCTTCTCCTTCCCTCTGGCTTCTCCATCGTACTCGATCGCTCCATCACCGCCCTGGTCAGCCGAGTCCCCGTCTCCGTGAGCCAGCAGCTTTACCTTGGGCTTCCGAGCCTTGGATGTTGCCCTGGTCCTTCAGCCTCTCTGCTTCTCTGCACAGCCCTGCAGTTCCAACCTGGCTCCTCCCACTGTCAGCGCCACCACATGGTGTTTGTCTCTGACTTCTCCTGGTCGTCCCTGTCCATCACCAGCTCCATGCCCACCTCCAAAGACCCCTCCCTCTTCTGTTGGACATTAAACGTTGCAAGGACGTACCTTTCCGAGGGAGGCGTAATGTCACGATTATGTTCCGTTTAGTTGTTCCTGTCATGTCTGTATAAGTTCTCGTTAGTTTCTATGGTTACTGATTAGTTCATCTTTGTCCAGCTGTTCCTGTTTAGTTTCCTCAATTACTACGTGTATATATTCTTCCTGTTCTGTTCAGCCCTTGTTATTGTTTGTGTTGGATGCTCCACCATTCCGTGATAGCGACACAACAGTAGATACATTTTGAATTTTGTTGTGATTCTTTTGTTTGCTGTTATTGTAAAATATTCCATTGTATAGCAATGTAATTAAGATTGAATATCACAGATATGAATAAATAGTGTGGATGTATGCAATGATGCCAGCTGTGTCAGTATAATCAATACTCTTATCAGCAGTAATCGGCGACGTATAAAATTGTTTCTGCGGCAACATAATTAGACCCTCAAAGTCCTTCCCTCCCATCTGCAGTACATGCAGCCCAAGCAGAACAAATCGCATGCATATCTAGGAGGCTTGCGTGTGTGTGAGAGATGACATTCATTATATCTCACCGTGAAACTAATTAACTGATTACTCTAATTAAATGGATGATTAATTCCTTCGCAAACTAATTTATTGACATCTGATGGAAGCTAACTAAAAGCTATAGCGATAAAATTATCCGCCATTTTAGTGCTTTATTGTATTTTGAAACCGCTTGTTGGGTAAAGCTAAGTGTAGCTTAACAAGCATCATGTAAAGTAGTTGACTTACAGTCAAGCTACCCTTTTGAAAAATAGATAGGCCTACACTACAAACTATTAAAGACAAGATGCAAACTAAGCTATTTAAAAACTCCATGAACTTAAAATTTGAGTTAAAGTTGTTTTGAGTTCATGGAAATGGCACTACCGGTCAAAAGTTTGAAGATTTTTTAATGTATTTAAACTCTGCTAACCAATTAAGGCTGCATTTGATCAAAAATACAGTAAAAACAGTAATATTGTGAAGTGTTATTACAAATGAAATTTTTATTTTATTTTATTTAAAAAATATATTTGAATGATTCTGAAGGATCATGTAATGGCTGCTGAAAATTCAGCTTTGCCATAAATTACATTTTAATATATATTTAATAGCTATTACAGAACACCTCCCTTATTGTCTTCCTTCCTTCCGTCGGTCCGTCCTTCCTTCCTGTCTCAATAGTAAAATAAGTTATGACAAATGTTTTTACATTGCTTTAACTCATCAAAATAAGTTAAGCAATTTTTTACTTTTTTTTATAAGTTATACAAGATTAAACATTTTAAGTCAGTTGAATGTAATTTAAGTTGAAATGACTTAAACATTCAAGGTGATTGAACTTAATTTAAGGCAGCAACTTTCTTTTCTTTTCTTTTTTTGTACAGTGTTTGCGAAACACAAAATGTATGCCACTGCCAATACTTTTGGCCACAGCTGTATATAGCCAACCCCATTTGCTATGAATTAGGCCTGTACAAGATTTCATCCCTGCAAGCAATGGCAGCAATGATTTCACACTATTGGACAATTGCAGTGGTTCTCAACTGGTTTTGCTTCAGGAAGCAGATTGTATTGGGCAAGCTAACTATGCATGATAATATGGTAATTTGCATGTGTTTGCATTTTATTTAGCATTATTTATTAGAGCACCAATGACCCTTGAGTCACAGCCCACCAGTTGAGCTGGAGCTCACCTGTAGTGTTGAATCCAAACAGTAGAGGGCAGGAGACTGCAAAGGCGAGGACCCAAACTGTAGCAATCATAACTGAAACCCTTTTGCGGGAGCTGTGAGTGGTGTTGTATAGCACGGGCATCACCACAGCCGTATACCTTTACAGAAGGAAGAATTAATCTCAGAGAAGTTTTGGGAATACTGATCAGGAAAAGGTCACACTCACTGAAGCACGAAAGTGTGAGTATGAGATTAAATAAAAACTTTTAAATGACCCCACAAAGTAATTTTTGAATATACATCCGTTCTGATATGAAAGAAAAGATCAAAGTCAATTTCAGATAAGCTTTCACTGCAATGCTTTTTTTATGGATCTGCCACGAAGCGCTAAAAAGCAAATATCTGAATAAAAATTAATAAATCAGGACACCGAAAGAGAACGTGCAACATCTTTGCATCGAAGAGAGATTAATTATGCTCGACCCCTATCAGCAGGATGATATGCAATTGTATTAGCTTTTCGTGATAGTTTTTTCTATATCTGCAGCAGCACACTGCTTTTACAAGTAGAATAACAGAGGAAAGAGGGGGGAGAACCAGGCCAGTCTGAAAGGCCTAATCAACCTAAATGTATGCCTTTCTCTCCCCCCGGCTGAATACATTTCCCTGCACTCTGTAGTCTGTATCATACATCTTTTTGTCTTTTCTACTGAATCGTTTTCTCACAGCCTTTCCATTTCGTCCTTTTTGATCACCCCATTACTCAACCCCCTGCCCAAATACCCCCCCCCCCCCCCCCCCCCCCCAACTAATTAAACTTCTATAAGTTTTCACACTCATGCCATGCAGTCAAAATTAAAACGAAGGCCCCTACCTGCTCCATCCATTAAGGTGTTAATGACGCACCTGTCACTGCAGGGATTTACTGATACCATGTTAAAGGAATATTTTGGGGTTGAAAGCTTGAACAGCATTTGTTGATAACCACAAAAATGAGTTTCAACTAATTTCTCCTTTTCTTAAAAAAATTTAGAGGAGTGGTCACATTTACCATTGTTTGGCGAATTTTTGTTAAGCAATTTTTTGCTGGTAATCAACAAAATGGTGTTGATTGAACTTAATTTGTACTAAACCTGGAACATTCTTTAAATAAAAAGGAACCACAAAAAAAAAAAGAAGTACACATTTATTATTAACCCCCTACCTGTCGATGCTGATGGCACACAGGTTGAGAATGCTTGCAGTGCACATCATCACATCCAAGGTTACAAAGACATTGCAATACAAGCGACTGAAGAGCCAATCTCCGCCAACCACCTGCACAGGTACAACAGGGTCATATTAAGGGACTAGATGCACAAAGAAATTGAAAGGAAAAGGATATACATATGAAATATGTCCAACAAAGCGACTTCTAGCCACACTGCCTCACTGATTCTCCAATGCAAGTAAGGAGAGAACTCTTTTTGAGTCCAAACTCACTTTGCAAATAATGAGTGCTCCAGTCAAACAGACTCTTGGTCCCTCTCTCAGAGGGCTTACGACGATAGCGCCCATCCGGGTGGCAAGGGAGATAATAAAGCTCCGGCAGAGATGAATGTGCTGCGTGCTCCTGAATCAGACTGCTAGGTACGTGTAGAACGTCACGACAGGAATAATCGTCTTTTCTCCCTTACTGGCACTAATCAAGAGCGGCACAATGCCTCCTACTGCAGCCATTCATAAGATGTGCTGCCAAATTTAATGAGTAGGAATGCAGTCTCCGAATGAATGTTTTTAACTGTGAATCACCAGACCAGGGAAGAGTGAAGGGAATTTGATATTACACTGTGAAAATTATAATGTAGCTGCTGTAACTGTGAAATTAATCAGGTTGATTTAGTCATACTAAATAACATTTAAACAAAAGGTGTAACGCCAATTAAAGGGATTTACCAATTTCATTTGGGCCCCCAAAATGAAAATGTTGTCATAATTTACTCACCCTCAAGTTGTTCCAAACCTGTATACATTTCTTTCTTCTGCTGAACACAAAAGAAGATGTTTTAAAGAATATGGGTAACCAGACAGTTGACGGTAGACATTGACTTCCATAATAGAAAAAAAAAAAAAAAAATATATAGAATTCAATGGCTACAGTCAACTCTCTGGTTACCAACATTCTTCAAAGTACCTTCTTTTGTGTTCAACAGAAGAAAGAAATTCATGCAGGTTTGAAACAACTTGATGGTGTGTATGACAGAATTTTCATTTTGGGGTGAATTATCCCTTTAATTTAACATTTAATGTTAAAATATTTTAGGCTAATTAACAACTTTTTTTATGGTGTAGATTAAATGCTTAATGAATTGTAGCTCTAAAAGTAAAACTGCTAATGTTTCTGATGGATTAATAATCAAGAAACTTGCCGTGTACCATGAGTGCAGCAGGCGCAATGATATGACGCAGCGCCTGAAAATAGTCCCCAGCTCCGTAGCCTATTTTCAGGTGCTGCGTCATATCATTACGCCTGCTGCACTCATGGTACACGGCAGTAAAGTTTCTTGATTATTACGCAGGAATGAGAGTATAGTTCCTAGCCATATCAGCCTAGAAAATCGCAACTTTACATTTTCCGTCGGTCTTAGTGCACGATGTAACTACAGAAGAGTCAAGTTTTAAATAGGAAAAATATCGAAACACTTTGGTCATTTTTGAGAAATGCTAATGGTCTTGTCCACTTCAATGATGTATGCTAAGCTATGCTAAAAGTGGTACCGTCAGAACCGGAGATCGGCTGAATGGATTCAAAAACGGTAAAACTCAACAGTTTAACTCTGGGGGAGTTGTAAAATGAGACTATTTCCAAAAAAGTGGAGTATCCCTTTAATCCTTTGACCAAAGCAAAGGGTAACTAATTATTGATGACGTAGAAATTTTTTGAATGAAGTACAACCTATTTTTTACAGACTATGAGTATGACTTGACAGATTTGAGAACCATTATCAGCTCCAGTCTAAGCTTTCAGATAATATTGATTTTTACTGGTTATTTAAACAATAGATATATTGATTTAAGTCTCGTTTCTTGTGTCAATGTCAAGTAATCAACTATTGATGCAAGAAGAAAATAATTGGAAGTCTTAACTGATTCTAGCACAGATTTGACATGGATTATTTAACATTGTTTGGACAAAATGCAGTCATTTCAACAGGAATCCTCACAATCTAGAATTTCTCCTGAGGACATAAGATTTCCCCAAGCAGATTTCACAACGATTCACCGTGTTGACCAACATAAAGCTGCTTGGTTTGAAAGTGACTTCTGTGTGAGCTTAATGCCCAAACTTCTGTGTGAGCTTCATACATTGCTACACATTGACAAAAGACAATTGTCCTGGTTTTGCCAATGAAATTTCACCAATGTGATGGCACCATAACATGGCTTTGTCCATTCAATCATTAGGCTATAGTGATGGTGATGAAAAAAGTTTTTAAAGTACTGTAGCTTTTCCAGTAGAGTTTCCCACGTTCAGTGGATCTCAATCACTACTTCTGTATTTTAAATTTCTGAGTTGAGGGAATGAATCGGTTCATCCTAAACAGCCATCTGTCTCAAATGCAACGTTGGGAAGTCTGGTTCATTCTAGTGAATCGGCTCATCCAAAATGTTCATGTCTCACTCTAACGCTGGAAAGACAGATTCATTCTAGTGAATCAGTTTGTTCGGATGGTTCATGTAAACGAACAGATTAAAACATGATTCACAGATTTGAGTCCCTGAATATGTTTTCAACTCGCTGTAAATTGACCTGGTCAAGATTGACACTGTCACCCAAATTGACATTATTCACTCACTCGATCAAAAAACTGCTTAAAAGAATAGTTCATTTCCACACACAATGCCTACAAGAAATTCCCCAAGCAATTGCAGTCTATTTCCTTGTACATGTTATTAATTAAGTTACCAGGCAATACTTAAAAACACCTTATCTAATTTATTTGTTGAGTTTCTTTTAATTAGGGGTTCAAGCACGTACTGAAACCCTATTATAATTGTTAGAATTTCTCCCCTAAAAGTGATCGGGTAGACCAAACCATAAGTCGTAGAGACTTGAAACTTTTGAGGGATGCCAGTACCCACCCCATTTGGCTCATAACTCCTAAACCATTCGACACAGACGTGTCTTATATCGCGAAATTGGCAAAATGTTCTGGTATTTTGGATTTTTCAAAAAAACTATTGCGAACTTGTCCAGTGCAGAAAGATTCTCTGGAGTCTGTTTGTCAATAATTATACATTTTTAAAAAGTCTAAATTTCCATTTACATCCACGACGGGATGCCAAAACGTTCAAAGTGGGTGTGGTCACTTTTACTAAAATAGCTAAACCTCTCGAACAGAATGAGATAATTTAACCAAATTCGGGTGAAGGGCATAATTTTCATTGGATGATTTATAAACACCCACCAGTTTGAAAACACCCACAAATTTAGAAACGCCCACTTTTGTTCTGCAGAGACCCCATACTCTGAATTTTTGCACATGCCCATGACATTCATACCATATGGCAGAACTGAGCAACTTTGCCTAAAGGACAACCGCTGTCAATCGAATTGTTCGTTAAATATCGGAGATTATTTCAAAAACCTACTTTCGCGAACTATAGTCTTAGGTTCTTGGCTCAAAGTCAATAACTGTTAAAAAGCTTTAAAACATATATTTCCTTAATAAATGGCCTGTTTTGGCTGTAAATGGTCTTTTCCAAAGGATCTAAGAGGTTACTTGCTTGCTAAATAAAACAAAATATCTTTTTACGAATGTGCTTAAAGGCCTTAAAGCGCTCAAACCCTGAAATATAGCTCGCTCGCAGCTACATTTAGTAATTGTTATTGTTAATACCAACAACAAAAAAACACCCTAAACTAGGTTACATCAGGTTCTGGTGTACTCACTTCCAAATAGACGGCCCAGGGCATAACCAGTGAAGCAACCAAGAGATCAGCAACTGCCAGACTGACCACCAGGTAGTTGGTGGTGGTCTGGAGAGCCTTCTCACGAAGCACAGCAATACACACTAGAACATTCCCAAATACAATAGCCAGGATAAGTAGGGAATAGAGCATGGCATAGTAATTCCTCTTCCCATCTTCAACGCCTGATGCCAGGCTGTAGTTTCCTCCAGAAGTGAGATAATGTTCTGACTCATTCCACAGCCATTCACTGTTGCTAAACATTGCCATGAGTGTGGAAGATCTGGGAAGACAGAGAGAACATTTGTTCATTTTGGGAATCAAAAACATAGACAACATGTATTGTAGCATCTCTAGGGTGTCTATTGAGTCTTGATGCTGTTTGAAACCTTGCTTTTATATGCTGACATCCCTGAATGTTATATTCTGCAAAGAGACTTGGTAACACTTCACTGCTTGAGGCATGACAGGCTGCTTGTTGTCTTCACAGTGCAGCTTTTATATCTTTGAAATTTCTATTTATTGATTGCAGCAATAAAAAACAAGATATCGTAATATATATTGTGAAGGCTCATTTGGAGAGCCATGCTTTATAACTTGAATTGCCACAATGTACACCTGTCTCATCCAGCCCATATTACGCAACCCTTTACATTTGGAATTCAGTAATAAATTATGGCTAATAATACAGAAAATTGATTCAAGTAAAAAATAGTCAGTCTAGATCAATGTTAAATCTTATGAAACTCAGAGAAATATAGCTATAATAAACATTAAATATAATTTATTAATCTCGAAATTTAACTAAATCTTAAACATGGATGACAAGTGATGTTTCAAAATGCATTGCAGATAAAAAAAAATCTAAAAGTTGCAATGTTGGTTCATAAAGGCACACTCATTGACGCCAAGGAAAAAATATCGGATAATCTGCACAAATGTTAACGCATGCATTTAATTATGGATAATAACACCCATTTATGTGCTGCATTCCAGAGGCAGATTACACGATTTACAATGTGTCTACCTGTTAAGCATCTCCAGCGAAGAACCGAATCAGAACCACCTCTGAAGGCACTTTCCCTGAGATTAAAGTTATCCGTCCAGTCGCTTTTCGCGCGAGCCGTTGATGCTGAAGAAAGGACTCCATCCTTAACGCGCACCGGGCGAGCACAATATGTGAAACTTATTAAACCACAGCTCCAACAATACTTCCACTCGTTGCTGTTGTTCACTGAATAACCAGCCAGCACCCAAATGGTTTCGCACAGAGCTTGATTCGCCAGGATGGTTGGTTACAGGCGAAGGACGATTCATTCCATCTCCAAGAGGTCTTTTACGCAGAAGCATCTGCTTTCATTAGTTCAATGCTTGATGGTAGATCAAATATATTTTGAAGTGAATCCAGGTAGGTGAAAGAATAAAACAACATCTCAAAAATCCCAATTGTAAATCATGGCATAGCTCTAACGGTATTCGCGTCCGCTGACGATTTCGAAGGATGTCTATAGCCTACACGGTTCCCTCTCAGGCTGTGATCATAACGACTGTCTGAAAATAGCTGTTACCTGTGACAGACTCAGCAAATCGGTTAACAGCACAAGAGCCACACCGAGTTCACCTGATAATAAGACGTTAAAATTAATTTCTTACTGAGAAAAGAATTGCGTAATTATGGGATTTTGGAGAGACTAGTGGTCGCACATTTTACTATTGAATATTTTCAAGGTAGGTTTATTATTGAAAGTAAATTATAGGCATTGTCTTGAGTCTTGGCAAAAGCTATTAAATATTTCCACCGTTATTGCCCAGAGGGGGAAAAACTACTGTTCATTAAACCAAATGTGCTCCAAATAGGCATGCTGTCAATATGGGGTAATTTGTCATTAACCTGTCAATTATAAGGTCAGACCGTCAGAGAAACACCTAAAAGCTATAACTAACATATAAATTAGGGTTTATTAGTCTAAAAATAAAGAAATTTGTCACAATGGAACCTGCCATTAAAACTAAACAAAACAACAAATAATAGCCTACATAAAAAAAAAAGCTGTAGAGAAACAGCAAATAAATAAATAAACAGCAAAAAAATAAAAAGGGTTACCTAAAATATCAAACTATTGTTTTGGCCAACAATAATTGTAATTAATTATTAATTTGTACAAATGTATAACATTTAGGCAAGGCAAGGCAAGGTGTTTAAACCACACAACTTCATTAAAATGTGACAACTTACCCCTATACCAAATATTTATGACAAATACCCTTCTCCTGATAACACAGTTCAACACTTCAGTTAAAATTCGTACAGCTGAAAACATAAACATATAAATAACACATATTTTAAAATTTAATTTGAAAAGGTTTTCACCTTGGTGTTTAAAACCAGCATACAAAACCACTGCTAGAGAAAACACATTTGTGAAATTGTATTTTTGACTCAAAACCTTTTAGTTACTAAGATAGAATGTGCTGTGACAACTTGCCCCACTGTCAGTCTCTTCTCTTATACTGATGTGATATGGGGGAGGTTTTTAGCAAGCAAATGGGTCAGAAAATCAGGAACAAGAGCAAAGGAGGGAAAATAAAATGAAATCGAGATTTGGAATATGGAGAAAACATGAAAGCAAATAAACCTCAGGCATATTTAGGTCCCCTGTGGCAAACAAAGAAATTAGTTTTAGATTCTTTATTTTACAAACCGGCTCAGTATAGTGTGAAGCCCATTATGGCTGGGGTGAAAGTGACACGGTCACATTTATCATAGTCTGTTCTCATCGTTCAGGGAAGAACAAGGATCAGGCTCAGATAACGTGTGCCAAATCCAATACAGCTATTGCTTACATCTGATGAACTACCAATTACTGTTACCTGTAACTCCTCAATAACAGTGCTCTATGAATTGACACTCAAATAATTCTCTCCAGGATGGATGAAGGAAGGTGTTGATTTTATTGCACTGCAGTCCAATGAAAAATGTGCCAGCCTTGATCTGTGTTCAGTATCAGTCTGACAGCTATTTACTAAGATGCAGCCGACCACATCCAAACAGCCACCAGTGAAATGCGCATCAGAGCACCTGTGACCGTGAAACCCTGCTTGCTGGCCATAAAACGCTCCTTTATTTTGCCTAATTGCATTACTGCCATCAAGTGGTAACAACCACAGAATGCAGAAGGGCAAATTAAAACCATATGATCAGTAAGTCATGGCAACTTTTTTTTATTTTAAGCTTTTTATTTATTCGAGATCCAAGTCAGTTTAATATAATTCAATTTGAAATGACCAAGTTGATTATACTTAAAAATTAAGGCAGCAAGTTTATAAGTTGAAACAGGTGGAATTTAACATACAGTGTTATACACATACAGTGAGACGTATTAAGAAATGTCCAAGGTCTTTTAAAAAATATTTTAATGAAGCATATTTGTAAAAATATATATCCACACTGGTTTTTACAGTCCAATCCCTTTTAAGTTCTTCTAATTCAGTCTGAAGTAGCAATTATTTAAAGTATTTTCCTCCATCCATTCTATATTCGGCTTATTAAGTTTGATTAATAATAAGAATAGATGAACCATTAAAATATATTAATAATGACACTAATATTAAGTCATTCAAATGCACATCAAAATATGCTGACAGTTTTATCAGTTTCAAATGTCAATAATTAATATTATCTGCTATTTCCAGATTAACGGTCCAGATATTACAGTAATATGAAGTCAATTTAATAAAAAATGCTGCCCAGTTAGTACTGTTACTTTTTCTCATGCTCTTCCCAATCAATGTATCCGCCTGCATAATGCCGTGCCCTGAAAAAAGAGAAAGAAAACAAGTAGTACCTCTAACAACAAGGAATATTTTAATTAATTGGATCATATTAGGTATAGGCTTATAATGAGTGTGTGTGTGTGTGTGTGTGTGTGTGTGTGTGTGTGTGTGTGTTTTCAGTAGCCTACTTTGAGAATCCTAGACGATGAGCAATTTCGAGAGCAGACAAACTCCTTTTCCCACTTCGGCAATGGAAAACTATGTCATCATCTTCCTTTTGGGGGGCTTTCACCTTAAACTGCAGTTGAAACTGTTGTGGTGGGAGCTTTAGTGACTCCTCAAGCTGTCCCACTGAGAGACACATTAAAACCGAGAGTTAGTGTGCACACTGAGAAAAGAAAAACACTGATTCTATACACTTCAGTAATGACTTACATGGAATGTTGATGGAATCAGGAATCCGACCAGCCTGGAATTCATCTGGATTTCTGACGTCAAATAGCTGTACGCTGTGATTGGCCAACATAGCTTTGAGCTGTTCGTATGTCACAACTGACACTGAAATTGTGAAAATCAAACAGTAATGATACCAATGCAAGATCATATTTGATCTTAGTTGCTATTCTATTATTGTCAATTAATATAATGTTCAGGTCAGTGAAAATCATGTAAGTTAAAAAAACATTTTATAAGAAAATCCTGCTAATCATGGTTGTTGTTATACACATAAAGCTGCTTGTTTGGCTGATGCGATACAAAAGATGAGCCAAACAATAATTTTGCTGTAATCAGCAGAAACAAAAACAAAACAATTGCTAAGTGGTTTAGTCAGTACAATTAGCCACAATTTAAAGCATGAAGCAGTCATGTTTCTTCCTTTAAAGTAGACATTTTCTAAATTGCTGCATTATAACCAAGTGAAAACAGCTATTAGCAATGATATTCTCCATCCAATAAATGACAATAGATACATATGTAGGCCTACACTTTTGAGTCTAGTGTGTAAAAACTGAATACTTTGATTTGTTTTCCTTAAATATCATTGCTTTTTATCAAGTAGATAATTGACAATGGACCAAAGTCCAAAGTTCATATAATAATTTACTCATACCTGACATTGCAGATTAAATGAAATACAAACGTATATACAGCCTCCAAAAGTTATTATATCTTCCCAAAAAAATGTACGAAGTTACAAAAAAAGTGCCTCTTTTGCAGCTCTATACCTGGATCAGGTTGTCCGTGACTGTGATTGACGGTGGAAGTCTTCAGTCCACATGCTGAGATCACTCTACCATGGCAAACCGGTTTAGTGACTCCAAACAGGCACAAACGACGTAAAACCTGAAACGATAACATCTCTAAGCAGGGCGCAGTCACAGTGACTGGTGCTGAAAATGAAATGTTGGTCTGTCTGTAACTGTCACTTGCCTGTGTGTTTGGGGGTCCGGGAACACAATACAGATGATCCGCTGCCCTCTAGCGTCAGGATCGTGTCCAGGTAAAGGACACTTGGATGATATTTTCACGAAGAATGAGACTATATTGGGGTGCTTCCGTTGTGCCCGGTCATTAAATAGGCCTATGATGTGATGTCTACAATACAGCGTATAAGGGTTTTATGAGGTAAAACAACAACAACAACAACAACAACAACAACAACAACAACAACAACAACAACAGTGTTGCGCATCGGATTATCTCATTGGTTGCCGGTGTGGTGCCGAATTCTGACCCCCGCCAAATTATTACCCCCCTAGTATTTGGTAGGTTTAGGATTAGTTGTGGGGGAGGGGTTAGGATTAGGGGTGGGGTTAGGATTAGGCAATCAGGTACTGACTTCAATGAGGGGGGTAATAATTTGGCAGGGAGTCGAAATTCGGCACAACACCATCAGTCATTAGCCAAATGATTTTCTAAATTGGTTAGATAAAATATCGATATCGATAATGTAAGTAAACTTTATATTGTAAAATTCAATAGTGTGCTTATTCTTTTATATAGGCTATGTTTCCTTTCATTTTACACTTAATTTAGGCTTAGGATATACAACAACACTGAGATCTTGGTTAAACCATTATCGTATAATATCTTTGTAGAGAAAAGAGAAACATTTAACATGATAGCCTACAGTGCAGCGCAAAAAAAAAACTAAAAAAAAACTAAACCTCGTTAACCACGTGTGTTGCCAGATCTTGCTGGAAAAACGCATGCTCAAAACTATAGTCTTTTAAGCAGGTGAGGATATCTGACAGTTGAAGGAACTGGAGGAAATATTCTGTTTACGATTACATTACTTGCCCACCGGCCCAACCGTCGTTTTGCATTTTCATAGAAATAAAAACCATTTATTTCAGTTGGACAAAGGAGCAGCGCTGGAGTCACGTGACGAGAGTGAGGCGCGATGACTGACTGGACGATGGAGGAGGAAAAAGCTCAAGAGAACTTTTATTAGTAAAAGTTGTATTTCTTAATTTAATATGAGTGAGTTTGTTTTACTGTTGTTGTGTTTTCATCAGAAAAATAAATGAACCACAAATTTGGGAAAAAATCTGAAAACCCCGAGTTAGTTGTAACAAATAAATGAAAGGTCTTTGGATTTTTTCCCAAATTTGTGGTTAATTTATTTTTCTGATGAAAACACAACAACAGCTCTATACCTGGATCAGGTTGAGAAACAAACCCCTTTAGAGCTGCTTTACAGAATAATTGACTTGACATTTGTAATAATCAGTAGGCTATTCAAACTTTATTGGCAAATAGGTCATAATTACCAAGTCCAAATACAACTGTTATTTGTAAATAAGATATAAAAAAAACTGCACCCTGCTACTGGCCATGTTTATAAGCGCCTTTATTAAATAAATAAAAAGACACAGGTTTCTTATAAAAAGTGGACATGGCAACACCGTTCGTTACACAAAACTGGCAACACCGAGAACTAGACAGACATGCGCTTCAGTTCGCACACGATGTCCTCTGCCAGTGCGCATGCGCAGTGTCACTATACCGGCGGAGGCTGAACGGTAGCAGCTTAAACGACGCAGGGATAAACTAGACTTTTTTGACAGGTCAGTACGCCAATGTGGATTATTTGTGTGAGAATGGTTTTATTACACCTATATGATGTTAAATTCAATAGATATAAATGTTAAAACACAAATATAAAGCAGCTGTCGGATAACCTTATTGGGTGGGTTAGCAAGGGAGCTAACAGAGGCTGCTGCGCAGATCTGGGAGGGAGAGGCGAGTCTGCAGTTAAGACGATATTACCAACAAACCTGCTCTTCAATCGATGATCACTACCCTGTGATGACCTAAAATTACGTTTTATTGCCTTGAATCTATCGTCTTCGCTTCATAGACGTTATGTACGGTTGGATTGGTGTGTTTGGCGGGGTGTTTTTTGGTGGAGATGGTTGGATCAGTCGCTACCCTTCACTGCGGGCTGAAGCGCCACTGCCCATGACGAGCTCGGTTCCAATCTGGCTGTTCGCTGTTTATCTTATTTTTAGTATTTTAAGGCAAAACAACACAGGTGAATGGGGTAAAACATTTTAAATAATAGATATCACCAACCTTAGTTGATTAATCATTGCAAATTAAGTCAATTGCTTTGTATTTCTAAATTGTCTGAAATATGCTAAATATAAACGCAGTTAAGGCAGTATCTAATTAAATTTGCATACATTTTTTAGAACAGAAATCTGAACATTGGATAAAGCCAGGTACAAATGTCTTGTTTCATTATGTTAACATGCTACACCGTAAATAAGACAATACGGTCTGACAAAGAACCAGGAATAATAGAAATAGAATGTTAAATAAATCAGGCAAATTATATATGAACAAACCCCTCTTTAAAAACCTTAAGAGTATAGGCCTAAATAGGAATAAAAACTGAAAAGTATGCAGGTGCTATTTAACTGGAGATTTCTGCCTCATTTTGAGGAAATAGCCTTTAAACATATGTAATTTAAATCTACAGATGCAAATGAATAAAGTGTAAATAAAAAAACCTTAACATTGTATTTTGCCTGTTTTCTTTCCACTGGTCTGAGATAAGACTAGTTATGGAAGCAAAATAGATAAAAACTTCCCATTTTATCACAACTTTCAGTGATGGTTTTGGAGCCTTTATCTTCTTGATTTTATTTGCAAGAGTGTTTTTCATGCTACACAGATAATATCCAGTTTGTGGCTAAACAACATTATTGACACAAAACCTTGTTTGCTTGTTTAACCCATCATTGAAATGTATGAAAAATATGTTACAGCTCTGACTGGCTGCATTAATATTCTGTATTTTTGCTACTGTCAGAGTAGTTATGCCACAAACGGTGGATATGAATGCTTATCTGGCATTGTGTTTGGTGTACTTGTCCACAGCTGAGGAAACAAGTGACATTAAATAAGCTTTTGAAGAGGTCTGTCAAAGACTGTCATCTAGCTGAGATCAAGTAGCCACTATTTTAATGAGTCTTGGTGATTCCTTTTGTGCTCATCTTGCTTTGATTGTGTCTTTCCAGCAGGCAACATCATGAGTCAGGGGAAGGACAATGCACGTCTCAAAAGCTATAAAAACAAATCACTCAACACAGATGAGATGAGGAGGAGGAGGGAGGAAGAAGGCCTCCAACTTCGCAAACAAAAGAAAGATGAACAAGTAAGAGAATTGGAGATACGAGAGTGGCTTCTGTTATTCTATTTCATTCCTCTCTAGGTGTTTTGTATAAAGGTAAATATGATACTAAACATGAGAGCATGGACTGAGGGAGTTTTGGGAGAGTTGACAGAATTGTCACTTGATGTGCTGCGTTCATTAAATCTTACATATGTTTTTGTCTTTTAAAAATTAAACATTTGTTTTGTCATAATTGGGTATTGTTGTTGAAGATTGAGCTGATTTAAACGAAGGTGACACAATGTAGCTGCTTAACATAGAGGTGATCTTGTGGATTTGTCAAAGTTGCAAGAAAAACTTTGTATCATCATTTAGAATGGGTTGAAAATTATTAACCAACCATATTTTGCCATAATTTCCCAGCAAATGTGTTTATTAATTATTAATTACATTACATTAGGAATTACATTATAGACTTAATTTAAAGATGCAAGTTAAAAACCTAGTAATTTTTTTAAAATAAAATTTAATGAAATATAAATATTTTTCTGGTATAATTTTTTTTGTTGCTTACTTTATTTATGTATATACATGTGTGTATATATATATATATATATATATATATATATATATATATATACACACACACTCACACTCAGTCAGTCAGTCATTGAAAATGGAAAATGTTGGTAAAAATCTGAACTATCCGGACTGAACGTACAGTACATCTGAAAAATCCAAGAGATTGCATAGTTTTATGTTTTTTCATTTGTACAATGTTGCTGTGTCAGTCTGGTGAAGACGCTCAAACAGTGTAATGTTTTAAAAGCTCCACAATATTGTAGCAAATATGCCTACAAATGCCTTACTTCTTGTTGATTCTGCTGGAGATTATTTTTGAACGTAAAAAAAAAACCTCACTTCCCTCTCCCAAAGAAAGAAATGCAACATTAGGACTGATATGCGGCACATGTTGGTATTTTTATCGAGCACAGTGATCTGAGATTTTGTGTTCTTACAGCTGTTCAAGCGCAGAAATGTGGCCACAGTGGAGGAGGATGGAACACTGGAGGATGATGGGATGTCAGACAGTGGATACCTGGAATCACAGGCCAACAATATGGATCAAATCACGGTGAGAAAGTTAAAACAATAGTTAATCATAGTCTTTACTAACTGATGAAACTAATTAGTCTTTTCTTCTTTATAGGGAAATGTTATTTCTGAGGACATGATACAGATGATCTTCTCTAGCTCCCCAGAACAACAGCTCATAGGAACACAGCGCTTCAGAAAACTCTTATCTAAAGGTGAAAGACCCCAAAGACTAAAATACTAGCATTTACATAATCATATTTATGATAAAAGGATGCTAATTCCATTTTTGTAATTCTCCATTAGAGCCTAATCCCCCTATTGATGAGGTCATTGCCACCCCCGGTGTCGTGGAGCGATTTGTTGAGTTCCTGAAAAGAAGAGAGAACTGCACGCTACAGGTGACCTTAATAAGCGGTATCTGGGTCATATTAGTACTAGGGATTTGCGAGACTATTCAACTAAACAATACTGCTCCTGTTAGTCGACATTGGAAATGCTAGTTGTTTTTAGTTTACACATTTATCTCTGTTTTATTTTATTTTTTAAAGGCTACATTCAAATTGCTGTCATGTTAATTTGATTTTACCTCAGACATGTGTTGTGTGAGAGTATTTTGACTTGGAAGAAAACGGAACAGTATTGTGTAAGTTATGTCAAACTGTATAACAATTAAGCTTGCTTATAGGCTTGTTATACTAC